AACCAATATATCTAAGAATTTTCAAGCCTTAAAACTTGGTGAAAAAATGTTTGCTTTTTTCGTTTCCTTAATTTAATTTGGGCATTTTTAAACCCTTATAGAAACTGAGGCTGCTAGTAGGTTGTAAAATATTTCTTTAATTAAGAGTTTAGCACATGTAGCTCGAAGATTTGGGCTTTTTACGGAGTATTCGAAATTTTATTTTGTCGCGTTTGCCGTCCCGAGGCCGATTTTCTTAAAAACGGCCAAACTATTTCCTAGCCTTTTAAGCATACGTTCTTAATGTCTATCATGTAACTTTCCGTAACGGACACACTTATTATATTATTACATTATGATTTATTATGATCCTTTAATTGTCATTGCTTATTCCTTTGGCTTTTTCAGCTATAGCCATCGCTATTCATTGAGGTTTAGAGATGGAGGGTCAAACAGCAATGCAGTCGATGAAGTTTCAAAAGTTACTGAGTGAAATTGGACGCAAAATCCGACCACACGATGTTGAAATGTTTAAATATGAACTAAGATTCAAAGAAAACATTCCTTCTTCATTGCTGGATGATATTGACAGCCGTGAAAGGAATTCAGGCTTGACGTTTCTTAAAAAGCTACAAAAAGAAGGATATCTCGCTGAAGATAATTTAGAACTTTTAAAAGAGCTACTTCTGGCTATCGAAAGACACGATTTACTCCAAGAATTGCTCAAATTTGAAAAGAAAATAAAGACTTCCTCTGATGTAGAAGGTGCGGTTGCCCGGGAAACAGAAGGTAGGTGTTGCACTACACTTAATATGGAATAATCGTAATCAATGGTTTCTCCTTTCATATATTCTTCCATCACGTGGGTGCGTTTGTCAAGGCCCTGTTACATGTGGAATTTTTTCTTACAACTTGCAATACAATTCTGACAAAAGCAGAGCATTGCAAGTTGCAAGTGAGATGCCACACTCGCGCAATTCGCTTCGAAATTTGCAAAATAATGCTTTCCCTGCCCTCGATAAAACCGGATGTGTCAGCGGTGTTCTCATTGGTCATTTGTGACGATTGCATTGCAGATTGCGGGATAGATGTTACACATGCTGCAAATTAATTCGTAATGTTGCGTAAAGTACTGAAGCTCGTTCAAGCCTGTCTGCAACTTACAACATTGCAGAACAGGGTCGTTACACGTGCAATCTCTTCTGCAAATTACAATTCAACGGAGTTGCATTGCAGCTGTAAGAAAAAAAATATTGCATAGTGCTCGTGTATGAAACAGTTCCAGTTCCAATTGAGTAGCTCAATAAATGAATGAAACAATAAACATGAATCGGCCAAATAAACCTTTTTTGAATAAGTCAAATACCGCGTGTTCTAGCTTCGATCACAGACTTATTTATACAGAGTTAGCCTTATTTCTGTGTCCAAATATTCACAAATATCAACGATCAAGTAAAAATTAAATGGGGGACACAAAAAGAACCGGTTGAATTATTCGTGTTAGAGTAGGGGATTGTCTCCCGGTTCAACAGCCTATCCCAATTTGGAGGCATAACACTAATGTACTAACAAATCACTCATGATTGTAAGCTGCATGGCTGCTAATAGCGCCTTAATACGCAGGCTGTAAAGTCCTCCACTGGTCATTAATGTAAAGCTCATTGAGACAATGTGAAATGCGTTATATAAGAACCCCATTATTCATTTATTATTATTATTATTATTATTATTATTATTATTATTATATAATAATCA